TATGGGTGAAGTTGAGGGGCACTGAAGAATTTTCGACTTGGCGGTCGTGCGCCCTGATGGTTTAACGTTTTCTGCAGCGTTTGCATTTTATTGGGCTCATCAAATTTCTGTTCCACTTGAGCTGAATTCCTAACTTGCATGTTATTTCGGGATGTGGAGTGTTACATCGCAGTCGCGTCATCGCGCTTTTCTGGAGACTGACACGGGAGATAGAGTTGACGCGCAGCGGTGCTTCCGTGTTAAGGGGTAGGGCACTGATACAAACAATACTCCCACCCCGCCTCCCTTGCAATGACTATTTCGACGCGACTGAGAGGTAAGGCTGCGTTAATACTTTGCGTCAGTAAGCCAGCATGGGCAGAGTGTAGAACGTATGCCAGGGCACGCCAGAATTGTCGCGAGCAATTTAGGCTTGATAAAATTGAACGAGAACGCTGCTATTCGCTGGCGAACGCTAATTCAATGTCTACACTTTCCTAGTCGCTCGAAACATGCTCTACGCTGGTTTACGCTGGTGTGCGATAGATTGATATCCATACTTTTCTGGTCGCTGGCGTACGCTAACACAAAGTATGAACGCAGCCTAACGCTCCACACTCGTTATTTTGTAGTATCCTGACCATATCTGCAGTTATTTAAAAATCTAATAGCTTTATAATTTTTTTTAAGATGGACTCGTGCTGTCGATCTCTTTTGCCGTCTGTGGACTGGAACATGGCATGTGTTTCTTCAGCAAAATATCACTGGGAAGACGAGAATCATAAGGATGTGACTGCTGGCGAGCAGCAAGAGGGATCCCGCAGTCGTCGAAGTCATTGGACAGAACAGGTGCTGGTCGCGACTAAACAGTGTGGTGCTGTGCGAAATGGGAGCTTAAATGCAAGCAAGTTTCAATGTTCTCTAGAAGTAGTAGCTAGGCGAGTGCATGTTAAATGTTTACATTTTAATCCTCTCATAGTTTATATCTATTTTTGCTTTACAGATTCAGTTTTATCTCGGTGTTGCTCCTATTACGAGGAGTTTTCTCAGCCTGAGTTGACTGCAGTGCAAAAACAGATTGGTATGTTGATCGTATTCCTTTCTGTTGCTTCCAGAGGGCATCTTGTCTCTTCTTTTCTCGGCCTTTTAGCCTCCGACAGTATATAACGACACTAATAGGAGCAGTACCTACTTATAGGATGTACTGGCATAAGAACATCGATAGATGATGGTTCATAAAAAATTACTGGCCTCGCTAAAATGAAATCGGGTAATTAGGATCAATCCGCGAAAGGAATAGTGGAAATGTAACATATCTTCTCAGGCCAAACAGCGCCCTTCTTCTGTATGAGCTTCCACCATTCATGAAGCTCTTGCCATTCCTTATGTAACGGGATGCTAACCTCATGCCGCTCCCTCCACCTTCTCCCATTGCTTTGAGAAACTCTCCTCGCTGCATTCACTTAGGCTATGAGGTGCATGATGCATTTACCATGCGTTTTTCCTATGGGTTTTCGACTTTCTTTTGTCCAATTAATTTTCGTATACATGCGCCTTTAACATTGCCGATTTTCTTCAACAAAGTTTTAAGCTCGAAGCCGAGTGCGTGATCGAGAGCTGAGACTAGCCGACTCATGTATGCGAAGTCGTTTGTACGAATATATGAAGTATCCAGAGAACAACGAGGTCAATAATTTCCTAGTGTCTTCAACTTCGAAAATAAGTATTCTGTTTTTAATGGTTGAAATTAAGGAAGCTGATCTTTTCGATGAGCCTCTTCCAAGTGTAGATACGACTGTTCGAGGAATGGGATGTCACGAACGTGAGGTTAGTGAACTCGACGTCACGACTTCATTCACTTCGCCATGTGCTAAAAGTGTTTCGGGTTCAAGAGAAATATTCAGGAAAATGACACATTGAAGTTTGCCGTTCTTGACTCGCTTCATTATTCGTATTTCTTGAATAAATGGGGACTAATAGATGCACAGGTGAGCCAACATTCTGCTATTGGTATGGTGGATGGTGGACACTGTAAGATGGGTGCATACTGGGTTTGGTGGGATTGTGGATACAGTAAGGCTGGTTTTGTGATGTCAATAAAAAGTGGAGCTAGCATAGTTGAGGGGGCCACCCGCTATACTAGACCCTGCCTGCTCTACTCGTCGGTGCTCTTCTGCGCTGAGCCTGGGAAAAGGAAGGGATCACTACATCGGCTAGAGGAACGACGCAGATGACCAGAGTTGCCGTGGTATCTCAGTGTGCATCCTCCAGGACCGATTCTGTCTTCTCTTGCGCCTGCTTTTCTGGTAAACGTTTCGGAAGTGACTCTGTCTTTCAGCAGCCGCTGGTCATCGCTATCGACAACAGCCGAGAACTGTTCTCTGTTATGGATGGATCGTATTCTCAGTGAATCCTTGACTTTTACTTCTTGTCTATAAAAACATTTTTTGCAAGATTTTTCGCTTTATACTTACTTTTTACAGAAAGCGTGTACGTGAATTCATTCATGACTACCATTCCTACCTTATCTCAGATCATCTCATGAGCGAAGATGATAGTACAACAAGGTTTGTTTAGTGAGTTATAAGTTCAGGAGAACAGGACGGATACAGTATCCTAAACTGCACCTGAAATTAAGTGCGTAGGAGCACCACATGCGTGCAGCACCACTCAATTTTCGCTTAGTCTGCTGCTGGCTGCTTCGCTATCGTATCTGGCTCAGCCAGGAGCTTAGTTTCAATTTTACGCGCAATTTCTGGAGGTGCACTGTAGCGCTTGGTTTGCTGAACTCATAATTTTGTAGCGCACATATGTCGTTCGCCTGGTTAATGAGGTTTCAACGTAAAATTTGCTTAAATGGAGCAGGGGTAGCTACAAATGGTGCTGTACACGACGGTAAAGCTTACCAGGAAAGGTCAACAGGTCAGCCTGGCCATTTGCAATGAGATGCACATCACTGTACTCATCTTGACACGTGAACTCAGAACTGTCTTCAAAATTTGCAGAACGATTCTCTGAGCGGAGTTATGGAGGTTTTTCTTTACTGTTTTTCTTCTTACGGGCGCGCTGGCGCCGAAGCGTTGGCACATGTAGCGCGACTCACAGCGCTCTTCGCGCAAAACAGGTATCATATTCGTGTTCAGGGGTCAAATAACCCCTAGGGACGTCACCTTAGCAAAATCTGAGCTTCTGACTCAACTTCGAAAAAATGGGGTATGGATAGTCATGGCTGACTGATAGCTAACAGCGATACTATGACTAGCATACTGGTGATGACTGGTCTTCGAACTGAAATAACTCTTCAGTCATGTCTTTTTGCAAACAACAGTACCTGGCTTACTTATTTGTGCCGTCTGCATCATTTTCTTGACTATCGGGAGGAAATCCCATTCCGAGACCAGTCATCGATGGTAGGTGAGCTCCAATCTGCTGCTGGAATAGCCCACATTTTCCAAGTGAGGTCGAAAAATCAGATTCGGCTAGAAACTTGTCCCCAGGGGTAATTTAACCCGCTGAACATGAATATGATGGTATTTCATTGCAAAAACCCTTGTGACACGTGTTACGAGGGGTACAAGCAACACTTTCAGGCCACAATGGGTCTACACTTTCAAAAAAAAAACTGATCGCAGGGTGGGATAGTGCAGGCGAGCAGAGATGTTAGAAGCTTTGTCGGCTATGTTCTTGGACAAATGCAAAAAAGGGACCTGCCCCGGAACCGATCCTACGACGTCTCGCCTAAGAAACCCGCTCCCTACCCGTTGCGCTCTACTACCACGTTTCAGAATGACTCCATACATAAATGTAAACGCTTCCACGTTTCCTCGCGATAGCATGTGAAACAACCACGCGGGGATAAAACCCTCCATAACTCCGTTCAGAGAATCGTTCCGCAAATTCTGAAGACAGATTTGAGTTCACCGTCCCAAGACGCGTACAACGGTGTGCAGCTCATTGGAAATGGCCGGGCTGACCTGATGACCTTTCCTGGTTAGATTCGGGTTGTGGTACTGAATCCCGATTCTCTGAGTACATTTCAACCAGGCCTTTCTCTCTTTGTGGCCGGATAATTGGCATAAGACTCTGGGAAAATAAACCGACGGCAATGTAGCTTTGGGGGGGGGGGTGAGGACATGCTCCGGTGCGAATGAGCCCATTACGCATCCAGAAGGCGCTTGACGAATGGATTTTGGAGTGAAAGTGCAGCTTCTGTGTTCAGGTTCAGTGGAGTGAAATACTCACCTGTACATCAACGCTTGAAGGATGAACATGTTCTTCAGCGACTCACTCTGCGTACATTCCATGATTTGATCGAGAACAGAGTGAGTTATTAATGTCCTTCTACAAGGAATTCTCTTTCGTGTCGATTGTCCGTTTAGCTGGATGTGAAACACATAAAAGAGGCACCAAAAATTTTCTCGCAAAAAATTTTTTTTGTTGTTTATGTTCCTTTCTTTTTCGGTGCCTAGCACCTTATTCAGCGATCTGAAATACTACAGTTAGCCGCCTCCAACCGAATCCTGAACCTTGCCTTCACTGGTGCCTCCATTCTGAAGGGCCAGTCGGATCGGCCGGCTTCGCCGGCCGATCCTCCTTCCGCGTGTGAAGTGGGTCCCTGTGAGAAGTTTTCCATGTGAGGGAGGGCCAGTCGGAGCTTCGGCCGATCCTCCTTCCGCGTGTGAAGTGGGTCCCTGTGAGAAGTTTTCCATGTGAGGGAGGGCCAGTCGGATCGGCCGGCTTCGCCGGCCGATCCTCCTTCCGCGTGTGAAGTGGGTCCCTGTGAGAAGTTTTCCATGTGAGGGAGGGCCAGTCGGATCGGCCGGCTTCGCCGGCCGATCCTCCTTCCGCGTGTGAAGTGGGTCCCTGTGAGAAGTTTTCCATGTGAGGGAGGGCCAGTCGGATCGGCCGGCTTCGCCGGCCGATCCTCCTTCCGCGTGTGAAGTGGGTCCCTGTGAGAAGTTTTCCATGTGAGGGAGGGCCAGTCGGATCGGCCGGCTTCGCCGGCCGATCCTCCTTCCGCGTGTGAAGTGGGTCCCTGTGAGAAGTTTTCCATGTGAGGGAGGGCCAGTCGGATCGGCCGGCTTCGGCCGATCCTCCTTCCGCGTGTGAAGTGGGTCCCTGTGAGAAGTTTTCCATGTGAGGGAGGGCCAGTCGGATCGGCCGGCTTCGCCGGCCGATCCTCCTTCCGCGTGTGAAGTGGGTCCCTGTGAGAAGTTTTCCATGTGAGGGAGGGCCAGTCGGATCGGCCGGCTTCGCCGGCCGATCCTCCTTCCGCGTGTGAAGTGGGTCCCTGTGAGAAGTTTTCCATGTGAGGGAGGGCCAGTCGGATCGGCCGGCTTCGCCGGCCGATCCTCCTTCCGCGTGTGAAGTGGGTCCCTGTGAGAAGTTTTCCATGTGAGGGAGGGCCAGTCGGATCGGCCGGCTTCGCCGGCCGATCCTCCTTCCGCGTGTGAAGTGGGTCCCTGTGAGAAGTTTTCCATGTGAGGGAGGGCCAGTCGGATCGGCCGGCTTCGCCGGCCGATCCTCCTTCCGCGTGTGAAGTGGGTCCCTGTGAGAAGTTTTCCATGTGAGGGAGGGCCAGTCGGATCGGCCGGCTTCACCGGCCGATCCTCCTTCCGCGTGTGAAGTGGGTCCCTGTGAGAAGTTTTCCATGTGAGGGAGGGCCAGTCGGATCGGCCGGCTTCACCGGCCGATCCTCCTTCCGCGTGTGAAGTGGGTCCCTGTGAGAAGTTTTCCATGTGAGGGAGGGCCAGTCGGATCGGCCGGCTTCGCCGGCCGATCCTCCTTCCGCGTGTGAAGTGGGTCCCTGTGAGAAGTTTTCCATGTGAGGGAGGGCCAGTCGGATCGGCCGGCTTCACCGGCCGATCCTCCTTCCGCGTGTGAAGTGGGTCCCTGTGAGAAGTTTTCCATGTGAGGGAGGGCCAGTCGGATCGGCCGGCTTCGCCGGCCGATCCTCCTTCCGCGTGTGAAGTGGGTCCCTGTGAGAAGTTTTCCATGTGAGGGAGGGCCAGTCGGATCGGCCGGCTTCGCCGGCCGATCCTCCTTCCGCGTGTGAAGTGGGTCCCTGTGAGAAGTTTTCCATGTGAGGGAGGGCCAGTCGGATCGGCCGGCTTCGCCGGCCGATCCTCCTTCCGCGTGTGAAGTGGGTCCCTGTGAGAAGTTTTCCATGTGAGGGAGGGCCAGTCGGAGCTTCGCCGGCCGATCCTCCTTCCGCGTGTGAAGTGGGTCCCTGTGAGAAGTTTTCCATGTGAGGGAGGGCCAGTCGGATCGGCCGGCTTCGCCGGCCGATCCTCCTTCCGCGTGTGAAGTGGGTCCCTGTGAGAAGTTTTCCATGTGAGGGAGGGCCAGTCGGATCGGCCGGCTTCGCCGGCCGATCCTCCTTCCGCGTGTGAAGTGGGTCCCTGTGAGAAGTTTTCCATGTGAGGGAGGGCCAGTCGGATCGGCCGGCTTCGCCGGCCGATCCTCCTTCCGCGTGTGAAGTGGGTCCCTGTGAGAAGTTTTCCATGTGAGGGAGGGCCAGTCGGAGTCGGCCGATCCTCCTTCCGCGTGTGAAGTGGGTCCCTGTGAGAAGTTTTCCATGTGAGGGAGGGCCAGTCGGATCGGCCGGCTTCGCCGGCCGATCCTCCTTCCGCGTGTGAAGTGGGTCCCTGTGAGAAGTTTTCCATGTGAGGGAGGGCCAGTCGGATCGGCCGGCTTCACCGGCCGATCCTCCTTCCGCGTGTGAAGTGGGTCCCTGTGAGAAGTTTTCCATGTGAGGGAGGGCCAGTCGGATCGGCCGGCTTCGCCGGCCGATCCTCCTTCCGCGTGTGAAGTGGGTCCCTGTGAGAAGTTTTCCATGTGAGGGAGGGCCAGTCGGAGCTTCGCCGGCCGATCCTCCTTCCGCGTGTGAAGTGGGTCCCTGTGAGAAGTTTTCCATGTGAGGGAGGGCCAGTCGGATCGGCCGGCTTCGCCGGCCGATCCTCCTTCCGCGTGTGAAGTGGGTCCCTGTGAGAAGTTTTCCATGTGAGGGAGGCCAGTCGGATCGGCCGGCTTCGCCGGCCGATCCTCCTTCCGCGTGTGAAGTGGGTCCCTGTGAGAAGTTTTCCATGTGAGGGAGGGCCAGTCGGATCGGCCGGCTTCGCCGGCCGATCCTCCTTCCGCGTGTGAAGTGGGTCCCTGTGAGAAGTTTTCCATGTGAGGGAGGGCCAGTCGGATCGGCCGGCTTCGCCGGCCGATCCTCCTTCCGCGTGTGAAGTGGGTCCCTGTGAGAAGTTTTCCATGTGAGGGAGGGCCAGTCGGATCGGCCGGCTTCACCGGCCGATCCTCCTTCCGCGTGTGAAGTGGGTCCCTGTGAGAAGTTTTCCATGTGAGGGAGGGCCAGTCGGATCGGCCGGCTTCACCGGCCGATCCTCCTTCCGCGTGTGAAGTGGGTCCCTGTGAGAAGTTTTCCATGTGAGGGAGGGCCAGTCGGATCGGCCGGCTTCGCCGGCCGATCCTCCTTCCGCGTGTGAAGTGGGTCCCTGTGAGAAGTTTTCCATGTGAGGGAGGGCCAGTCGGATCGGCCGGCTTCGCCGGCCGATCCTCCTTCCGCGTGTGAAGTGGGTCCCTGTGAGAAGTTTTCCATGTGAGGGAGGGCCAGTCGGATCGGCCGGCTTCCCGGCCGATCCTCCTTCCGCGTGTGAAGTGGGTCCCTGTGAGAAGTTTTCCATGTGAGGGAGGGCCAGTCGGATCGGCCGGCTTCACCGGCCGATCCTCCTTCCGCGTGTGAAGTGGGTCCCTGTGAGAAGTTTTCCATGTGAGGGAGGGCCAGTCGGATCGGCCGGCTTCGCCGGCCGATCCTCCTTCCGCGTGTGAAGTGGGTCCCTGTGAGAAGTTTTCCATGTGAGGGAGGGCCAGTCGGATCGGATCCTCCTTCCGCGTGTGAAGTGGGTCCCTGTGAGAAGTTTTCCATGTGAGGGAGGGCCAGTCGGATCGGCCGGCTTCGGCCGATCCTCCTTCCGCGTGTGAAGTGGGTCCCTGTGAGAAGTTTTCCATGTGAGGGAGGGCCAGTCGGATCGGCCGGCTTCACCGGCCGATCCTCCTTCCGCGTGTGAAGTGGGTCCCTGTGAGAAGTTTTCCATGTGAGGGAGGGCCAGTCGGATCGGCCGGCTTCGCCGGCCGATCCTCCTTCCGCGTGTGAAGTGGGTCCCTGTGAGAAGTTTTCCATGTGAGGGAGGGCCAGTCGGATCGGCCGGCTTCACCGGCCGATCCTCCTTCCGCGTGTGAAGTGGGTCCCTGTGAGAAGTTTTCCATGTGAGGGAGGGCCAGTCGGATCGGCCGGCTTCACCGGCCGATCCTCCTTCCGCGTGTGAAGTGGGTCCCTGTGAGAAGTTTTCCATGTGAGGGAGGGCCAGTCGGATCGGCCGGCTTCGCCGGCCGATCCTCCTTCCGCGTGTGAAGTGGGTCCCTGTGAGAAGTTTTCCATGTGAGGGAGGGCCAGTCGGATCGGCCGGCTTCGCCGGCCGATCCTCCTTCCGCGTGTGAAGTGGGTCCCTGTGAGAAGTTTTCCATGTGAGGGCCAGTCGGATCGGCCGGCGCCGGCCGATCCTCCTTCCGCGTGTGAAGTGGGTCCCTGTGAGAAGTTTTCCATGTGAGGGAGGGCCAGTCGGATCGGCCGGCTTCGCCGGCCGATCCTCCTTCCGCGTGTGAAGTGGGTCCCTGTGAGAAGTTTTCCATGTGAGGGAGGGCCAGTCGATCCTCCTTCCGCGTGTGAAGTGGGTCCCTGTCCATGTGAGGGAGGGCCAGTCGGATCGGCCGGCTTCGCCGGCCGATCCTCCTTCCGCGTGTGAAGTGGGTCCCTGTGAGAAGTTTTCCATGTGAGGGAGGGCCAGTCGGATCGGCCGGCTTCGCCGGCCGATCCTCCTTCCGCGTGTGAAGTGGGTCCCTGTGAGAAGTTTTCCATGTGAGGGAGGGCGGCGGCCGGCCGATCCTCCTTCCGCGTGTGAAGTGGGTCCCTGTGAGAAGTTTTCCATGTGAGGGAGGGCCAGTCGGATCGGCCGGCTTCGCCGGCCGATCCTCCTTCCGCGTGTGAAGTGGGTCCCTGTGAGAAGTTTTCCATGTGAGGGAGGGCCAGTCGGATCGGCCGGCTTCACCGGCCGATCCTCCTTCCGCGTGTGAAGTGGGTCCCTGTGAGAAGTTTTCCATGTGAGGGAGGGCCAGTCGGATCGGCCGGCTTCGCCGGCCGATCCTCCTTCCGCGTGTGAAGTGGGTCCCTGTGAGAAGTTTTCCATGTGAGGGAGGGCCAGTCGGATCGGCCGGCTTCGCCGGCCGATCCTCCTTCCGCGTGTGAAGTGGGTCCCTGTGAGAAGTTTTCCAT